CATGCTAAGCTTCCGCTACTCGCATAACGTGCGATTACTGTAACAGCGATAATACTAATAATTGTGCATTTACTCGCCACTCGCTTTAAGCTTTAGAATTACAGCTTGATTTTAAGTCATCATACTATTTCGTCATTTATCTGCCTACTTTGAGATAAGATTCTATTTTGTAACATATAAAAAAGGGGGTATATCCAAGTAATTCATTTATTAGCCATAACATATAATATTACATACTATTACTGGATACTACTTCTGGGTAAGACGGCCTTGGGCTTCCTCGGTTACGACTGCGGAGGTACCTCATTCAACGTGACCACTGTATCGTTGCTGGACGTAGGCGAATGCCACTCTGCTGAAATACTTTCCAATTCTACATCTGTGCACATTCAATTACTTTAGAAGGCCGACTACACAGAGGTGTACACATATTCCTGTAAGATCGAGATCGATCGTCGCATGTTTCATTGTGGGATGCATTCCCATATATCCATGGTAAAGAAGGACATCGAAAATACTTACTCGAGCTCAACCAGCATAAATGCTCTCAGATGCATAAGACGGGCTCGTTTATCTTGGGAAAATCCGTTAACATAAGGCTACGCCCAAACTCCACTGATTACCGCGTCCTCGGACTCGCTGGAAAAACACACGAAGACGGGTCCTGCGAAGGAGGCGAATTCTCGGATCCGTACGGAGAATGGAGGAACGCCGTCGAGGCATCCGTCACCTTCATTCTTCGAGATTACTACGCCGCCGCTAAAACGAAAACAGATCATATTACACTCCGCTCCGGAGTTCAATGTACATTATCCAAGAACGAATGCGTAGACGAAGACGGAGCAAATGTGTTCTGGACTTCGTTACCAGTGGAAACGTGTAACTTCCATCTATATAATGTTCTATATCAAAGACAAGCTTACAAAATTTATGACTCTGGCAATCTATATCCTATGGTTTACTCTCTAACTACTAAAGATGTTACTTTCGCATTATCAAAGAAAACTGAATATAACGTTTGTGGCTATACCTTGATACAGACAGAACACCCGAAACTTTTAATTGTAGAAACTAGCCCAGATAATCTTTTTGCTAAACCTGGTACAATCTTTGTTAATAATTTAGACATTTTTACTTACATTAATTCCAAATTTGTTTATGTAGAAAAACATTTAAAGACTCAAATGCAAGATCTTTACCAAAACATCCTTTTCCAGAAATGTAAATTAGAACAACAAGTTTTGAAGAACGCTATATCACTAGCTCATGATCGACCCGATCTGTTCGCTTATAACTTAATGAAAGGGCCTGGATATATGGCCACTGTAGCTGGCGAAGTAGTCCACATAATTAAATGTATTCCAACGGAACTTACACGTCGCCAAACTGAAAATTGTTATGTAGAATTACCTGTAGTTGTAGGAAATAATTCAATGTACTTAACGCCTAAGACTCACATTTTAGTTGGCAGCGGGACTCCCGTAGATTGTAACCCGCTACTTCCAAACATGTTTAAAGTAAAGGGAGGATGGATAAGCTTAACGCCGAAACCAGCAGCCATGATTCCACCGCAGATGTTAGAATCCATGACCAAACGGTCGACGAAGACGCCGGCGCAGGGGATTTATACGTCCTGGATGAGGTTTTCGCAGAGGCCACGGAAGAAGCTATAAACTCGATAGAGGCTATCCTCGAGGCCGATGGAGTCTACCTGTTGGGGGACTTTCGGCGAGGGACTTGATAGCTGAGGTGAGTGTCTCTTTCGTGCGTTTTTCAAGAGATTCTCCAGAAGAAATTTGTTTCTTTAATTAGTTTATATTTAATGTCTAAGTCATCAAAATAAAATCTGAATAAACAGGAAAAAAAACGACTAATTATAAAATAAGAAATAGCGTCTCTGTCACAAAATTTAGATAATGCCTGCTGTTTCCCTTCATCTCTTAGATTCTCGCATTCCAATAATTTTTCTTGCTTCAAGATGAGAGATGTAATTAATTATCGTAAAACATCATGTGAACTTATTGTAGTTAGAATTTAAATATTTGCTCATTGCCTTCTATACTAAGCCCTAAAGGATCTTCTCGTTGA